CTCGAGTTAACTAGAGTTAACTCGAGTAAGGTTTCAGAACGCAGGCCAGAAGCCATGAGCAGAATGTAGAAGCCATATGCGCATGCGCTATGGTATCTGAAGAGCTCTAACAGATACCATAGCGCATGCGCATATGGCTTCTGTATTCTGCTCATGGCTCCTGCAATTTTATGTGCTTCCACCTTAATTGTGCGACAGCGCCATTATCGGTGTTAAGCCGTTTTGTCGCTCGAACGGTCGGTTTCAGCGGCTCGTGAAAATCCAGCTTTACAAAAGTGTTTTTGACAGCTGACTCTGTTGCACGTGTTTTACTCGAAATTTCCGTCAATAATGGTTTACTATTTCACGAGTGAAGGTAATTTCCGCTTTCCTAAAACGTTGTCTTTACTTTTAATAGATGAAGAATCACATTATCTCAAGCTATTAATGATATTTTGTTATCATTGAGAGACTAATAATCACATAATCTTGAATTGCAGTTGTGCAACCATCCATCACATTGTTTATGGGGATTGACAAACACGAAAGTAAGTAGAAAACCCGTCTGTAATTATTTGTAATTAAAAACTCGTGCTGAATCTAATATGTGATTTATTTGAATTCTACTTGTAGATGAGGATCTTATTAAGTGGGGCTGGCCGGAAGATGTATGGTTTCATGTCGATAAGTATTCGTCTGCCCATGTGTATCTTCGACTTCGACATGTGATTTGATTATAATTTAGAGATCTATTGCTTGTTTTGACATTCAAAAAATGATACAAAATAATTTTTTTTTTAAATTATAGGGTCAGATGATAGACGATATTCCCAGTACTGTATTAGAAGATGCCGCACAATTGGTAAAAGCAAACAGCATTGAAGGAAACAAAATGAATGACATTGATGTCGTATACACAATGTGGTCGAATTTGAAAAAGACGCAAGGTATGGAGGTTGGTCAGGTTGGCTTTCACAAGGACAAAGACGTTCGTAAGATTCATGTTGCTAAACGAGTGAACACTATCGTGAATCGCCTTAATAAGACGAAACGGTCGGAGCAAGTAAACTTCTGTGCTGAGAGAGAGCAAAGAGATAGAAACGAACGAGAAGACAAGAAGAAACTCTTGAGGGAACAAAAAGAAAAAGAAAAGGCAGAGGAAAAGAGACGTCAGGAAGAAGCAGAGATAAGGTAAATAATAATTTTATGACAATGCTGTAGTATAAATAATATCAGTTATGGAATATAAATTTGATATAATTAAAAAAATTACTTTTTAGGAGTTACAATTCCCTGTTTAATACATCCAACATGACTTCAAACACGGAAACCAGTGGATATGATTCGGATGATTTTATGTGATGAAGCTATAATATTCATATTTGTGTGTCTTATTCTCTACCATCTCCAGTAAGATATGCAAAGGGAAAAAGTTCCAGAATGAAAAGTGTAAAATATCTCATATATGATTATTTATTTTATTTATAGCCGTATTCTTTTACAAATGTATTTGCAAAATTGTAGACATTTCTGTATCAATGTACACTACACTTGTCTGTATAATAGAAGACTGCTTTGTCATTCATAAATTAAAGAAGTGCTGTGTAACTACATTTATCTTGCCAATGATAAACCAGATTGTGAAGTTCTTGCCTACCTACTTATAAGAACTTGCAAGTACTCACAATCAGATATGTCATTATCTCTTGACACAATAAGATAACTAAGTTTCAGAAATAAGTTATAAAAATTATTGTATAGATAGAAATTCTATAAAATTGTAAATAGTATAGGGAAGGGTGTAACAGTAGGCTCAGTACAAATTCTAGTTTTATAATAGAGTAACATTGACAGTCCCTAAAGCGTTGATTATCCACGTTGGATAATCTTTATTGGGATAAACTGTCGACATATAGTCCTGTATGAATTTAGGGAATCTTTGCTCTTTTATACTGTGTCTAATGTCTCGCATGAGTCTCATTTGAAATGCAATATTGTGAACGGTTAATAGATGACACGATACCGTCTCCACAGTTGCGATTTGATGCAGATAAGCACGTGTGTAAGTCTTGCAAGTACTACACTCGCACGACTCGTCTATCGGTCTCGAGTCTTTCTTATATCGCGCCTGCCTCAGACTAAGCTGTCCCGTTTTTACCAGCGCGCAACCAAACCTCTGAAAAAATAATAGTTTAAACGTTTTAAAATTTCCATATTTCGCGCACTCAATTATGTATTTATGTAGTACTTACAGCGGTTCTCGTCGGGAATACGCAATCATACATATCAATACCTAATGCACTGCATACAATTAGATCCACTGCAAATCCAACACCCATGAGGTACCGCGGTTTATTCTTCGGAAGGATATTCGTTGATAGGTGGACCATTCTCCAAAAATCATCCTTGCTCTCACCACCACTGAAATCATAATAAAAATCCCTATTGTTATATAAGATTTCAATAATTTATGTATTATATAAAATCCTTATTTATTAGCTATGTGTCGATAAATAATCTGGCATCTACCTCAAACCTCCTACAGCATACCCGTTCACATCTCGCTTAATCAATTGGCGTGCGCATTCAGATCGTAATTCAGGATCGAGACCACCCTGTACAATTGGAAATATACTTTGCTCATCTGGTCTTTCATGTGCTGACAAACAACGGTCCACCCAACGTATCGTTCTATGTGGTTTATTACATTAAAATTAATTAATACCTGTTCAAATTAGGTAATGCTTAGATAACATATTATTTAGAAAATATGTGTAATATTATAAAAATAATTATACCTATGCATTGCTTCCTCCACTCTTTGTCCGGTTAAAGTACTTTTAACGACATCATCGAGCTGCATAATTATGTCAGCTCCAATTGCATTTTGAATTTGAATGGAATGTTCGGGTGTCAACATGCATTCAGATTCTGTACGAAACGTTATTGTGAGCCAGTTTAACTATATGTAAATTATATTTAAGTGTATTCAAAAATATATCTGACTATATGTAGTACCATTGTATGGTGATTTAAACTTGACACCTTCTTCTGTTATCTCAGCTAGCTCTAATAATGAAACCATTTGGAAACCACCCGAGTCCGTTAACAAAGCCCTTTTCCAATTCATAAATTTGTGTAAACCTCCAGCTTTACGCAGAATATCTGCGCCCTGTCAACGTAAAAAATACATCTTAACGCGATTGAAATTACTTGCATAATTTTACTAACATAAATGTAAAACTGGACGAGACTGTTTTATTTATAATTAGGTGTGTAAATTAATTCGGTGCCTTTACATTCGATGCTTTATAACTCTGTTTTAAGATTACATATTTTCCATTACATAAATCCCTTTTGGGATTCGTAAGTGTGGATCTCTACATTTTCAAAGCACCACATGCCTTGGCGAAGTGTGGGCAACAAAACAATAATGAAATATGATGACATCCGAAAAGCAGCAAAAAAAAGTTGCTGAAAGCATGAAAATAATTTGTTCTACTCTGAGTGAAGACGCTGTGACCTATAAAACGTGCAAAAAGTAATATCAGTTTTTTCAGGAACTAGGCGTCGAGTCAATTTTACATCGCGACAACGTTTGACCACATGTCGCAAAGAGGACGAAGGATATATCTATATGCCTTGAGCTGGGAAATCTCTCATCCCGGATTAGGGGAGACCAGAGTTGTCTACATGCTTTTTTAAAGTTTACTAAAAAAGTAATAAAGATATTTGGCTAAACATTTTGATGGTGTAACCTTTCAAGCTTTAAAAAAAACTCGTAATTAGAATCGTTCATTGCAACTTTTAACATTTTAAAGAAATGAATTTTTTAAGGCAAGTCGAGCGAAGATTGCCGTATGCGGGGCTATCTGGCCACATAATGAAAAACTTGTTTATATTAATTTTTATACTTATTTATTATAATATTATTTATTATTAATATATAATATTGAAAATACTGCCTAGTCGAAAGAGTCGGAGCAGTAATAAGCGTTTTGTGTAAACTTTCTGATAAGATCGCTGCGTGGAGCTGACTTTTCTTTATAGCCGGTGGCATAAACTGATTTTCAGTCTGTTGCAAAATCAATGAGATGAGTTTCTTTTGTCCCCTCAATTCTTTAATCTTTTTTTTTGCATTTGGGGCTTTACTTTTTCCTCAGTAGCGTTTGAAATAAAAAATACTAAATAATTTAAGACAAACGTACTCGTATATTTACTTGACGTATATTTTTAAAATGAAAATTTGGTGATAATTCTTGAATCGCAGGATTAAGTAGCTGCTCGTAGGTCACATTTTTACAATATAATAGCGAGTGAGTCAGGACATTTATTTCGAATTTTAACGCCGTTTTTGCGAAAAGATTCTCGCTCGATTTTTATTCTTTTAATCGCTCTACGTATAATTTTATTAGGTATGCCTATAATTTTATCTATCTTTCTTTTGTAGTTATTACGCACTATTATCTATAACAAAAAATAAATTTCGTCATTGAAGTGTTTGTGAAAAGCATCGCAAGAGAACAAAAGGTTCTGAATCTCTTACGTAGGAGCTTTTTTTAATTATTTGTTGGAATGGTATATGGACAATTCCACGTCAAATCGGACAAGATTTGACCTCGTATTTTTTAAATCGATTGAAACTTTTTTTACATGAAATATATACATAAAATAAGCAGATACGTATTTTTTTGTTTGTCCAAAAAAAATTTTTTTTTTTAAAGTTATAAACAGTACAATATTTTCGTCAAAAATGAAGAAGTCGTTTACTTTACAAATTAATATCTCTGGTTATATTTGTCGTAGAGAAATATTCAAAAAAGCATTTTAAAGCTAAAAGAAATTGCAAATTCCAATTGTTATAAGCAATTGAAATGTTTAATTAATTTTATCATTAAAAAGTACCTTTTTGAAAATTTTTTAATTAATGCTATCTTATTCTTTATTTCATTCTGAAAGTACACATTTTTTTTTTATGGAGAAACGATGGATTCTATTTTTTGTATAATTTTAATGACTAAGGCGCCGCGCCGCGTTGCATCGCGCTGTGCTCGCGTCTCTAGTTCGACCAAGTAACGCGGCGCATCGATGACGAACCAGAGACGCGAGCACAGCGCGACGCAACGCGGTGCCTCAGTCATTAAAATTATATAAAAAATAGAATCCATCGTTTCTCCATTAAAAAAAAAATATGTGTACTTTCAGAATGAAATAAAGAATAAGATAGCATTATTTAAAAAATTTTCGAAAAGGTACTTTTTAATGAAAAAATTAATTAAACATTTCAATTGCTTATAACAATTGGAATTTGAAATTTCTTATAACTTAAACTATTTTTTTTTTTCAAAGATTGCCTTCTTAGTTTTAAAATGCTTTTTTGAATATTTCTCTACGACAAATATAACCAGAGATATTAATTTGTAAAGTAGACGACTTCTTCATTTTTGACGAAAATTGTACTGTTTATAACTTTTATAAAAAAAATTTTTTGGACAAACAAGAAAATACGTATCTGCTTATTTTATGTATATTTCATGTAAAAAAAGTTTCAATCAATTTAAAAAATACGAGGTCAAATCTTGTCCGATTTGACGTGGAATTGCCCATATATCTATCTCTTAATACCTGAGATAACAGTACTGTAGGTACATAGCCCTCATAGACAGATAGCCTCGGTCTCCCCTATTCATCAGATCTAGCCAGATCTATCGGATTATCCCCTGTTCCAGTCATTCCAACATCATCTACCCGATATACCTTTGAAGACAGTGGAAGAGATTCGAAAGTCTTGCGGCGGAGGTTTTGAACCGATAATGTCTTTAAGACTTTATCGGTTCAAAACCGCCAAGGTGTTCATCAGCTGCCTAATAAATAGGTCAAAGTCATAGAAATTTAATTTATATTTGATTTTTTTGAAAAAGACATCGAATTAATTTACACAAAATAATAAATTAATTGAAATTTTTTACAATAACAATAATAATAATATGTACATATTTAATCTCTTACAGGTCTGTTTCCGAGATGGTAGGTATTGCCAAGAATTATCTGGCAATCCAATTGCTCCAGTTGCTGTGGCAACAATCCTTTTAGTGTTCCCTGAAAATTGTGCAATGACAAATTCATTGTGCAATTTTATACAGATTTTATATTTATATATTATATATTAGGTTGATTCATGGAATCATTAAGATTTTTCCATTGAATCTCTGTTGAAAAATTTTATAAAAAAATATTCAAGCATGAAATCATAACATCAATTTTTTTAAAAGTGAAAGTTTTTTTACAAATTAAGCTCCAAATAAACAAGTGACATTTGATTAATATACAATTTACTATTAATTTCAGGAATCGTAGACTTTAACAGAATTTTGATTTCAGATATATTACCAAGCACTTAAGGGGCACAACTAGTGTGACACTTTTGAAAAATCGATTTTTTTTTTTTTGCATTTTTCGATAGTCTATAGCTTCAAGAATAACATATTAAAATTTTAAGAGTGGATCTCAAATAGTTTTTGAACGGCAGCCTTCTAAAGAGTAGCTGCTCGTCGGTCAGAAACGTGCATAAGCTTCGAAAGAGGGTTGATTAGCTCGAAGGAAAGCTTCAGCAACCCAGCAGGTACTTTCTTGAGGAAGAAGAAGGTGAATTATATGGGCCTGGAATAGCAGATTAGCTGTAAATATGATATTTCTCAATCAAACAATAAAATCAATATTTTTATCTAAACGCGTTTTTCTCAAAACGACATTTTTCAAATTTGCTGCAGTTCTAACTCGAATACAAATCATCCGATCGACTTGAATTTTTTTGGAGCGTGTTTAGTATTTGTTTTTCCATACAATGACCTTCCAGTTTTTTGATTGGATGAAAAATGTCAATTTGCCATGCAAAAAACCGCGAAATTTTTAAGCGTAATTTGAACTTTTTTTTCAAAACTCCGCCATTTTGTTGGATTTTAATTTTTTTTCATAATACTAGGTCATTGTACGGGAAATACCTTCTAGTTTAACGGACAATTTTTTTTTTTTATTTCAAGCACTCTGAAGGCCGCAATCACTGCAACAGTGGGAGCACGTTTTTTTTTTGGAGACTCGGGAGATGACACATAAGTCGCTGAAAATTGATTATTTTCATACAAAAAAATTACTGCACATAGATCATTTATACACAAATATATTCTCAAAATTTTAAAACATTCGATGCAATACTTTTCTTTTAATAAATTCCCGAAAATCACCTTTTTTTTGGGCAGTCACACTAGTTGTGCCCCTTAATATTAAAAGTTAGTATTGAAGGAGTCACATCCTTGCAAGAATTTTCGTCTGAACTTTGAATAGAAAGAGCGTCTTTCACACGGCAGCCACTGTTACGTAACGTAATATTGTAATCAAATAAAGAGAGATAATTGACCACTTAGAAGACTTTATTTGGCACAGAGCACAAGCGACAAGTCGAAGGTGTGACCGCTTCGAGACTAAGAATTAACTCTAACTCAAGAGGAATCCTCAGATATCCTTTTTTAAAGGAATAAATTGAATTTTCGTTAATTATAAATAACACAACGCGTCCTAATATCGGAAGTATAGTAGCAATTGGAGCGGCTTATTAAAAGAATAAGTAAAATTGAAAGTTTGGCATACAGCAGAGATCTGTTAGGATAGGACTAGTCGTTTATAGTTGTACGTGATTAGGAGATACAGAAAAAGAATTTTAGATTAAAAATAAGTGAATGAGTATAGTGAATCACGGTGAAGGGTCAAGACAAATAAGTCTATAAGGTAAATAGCGAGACTATAGGTTTATTACGGTTTAGTTTTCAGATCTTTGTCTGGAAACATTATCTGTCTTGTAAGAATTTTAAAAATAGAATTCGTAAATACGTGAGATATTGATAGTTGCGGCACATAACACCTCTACCCGCTTTGCGTGCAGCTTGAGCAAGAAAAGAAGAAATTATATGAACCTGTGTTCCCACCGGCATAAATACTGGCGTATCCACGTGATGATGAACAAGCGTCATCCTGCCGGTCCTGGCTTTCGTGGTTTCGCACTCGGCGAGCACCTCAAAAACCAACGGAGTTTTCCGATTCGCCATTTCCACCGGCGACCTACCGAGTCCCACGTTCACCGTCGTAGAGTACGACTTGTATAAAAATCTGGACATGGAGAGAAAAAAAGCTAATAATAAACATCATGACTTATTCCTGGATGCCCGAAATGAGAGGTTATGTCACGATTTCGCTCTCGCCACGTGCCTTCGTCCCAGTCGCACACTTGGCCTCTGAAATACATGCGTGTTCGTTCTGCGCCCTGCGGTCTTATTGAACACCCTGTATATTAACGTGTGTATGTATGTAAATAGAGCTGCCGACCGCCGCGATCGCGTTGCACGTTGCACGTTCGAGCTGCGAAAAGCAGAGAAGAGGTATACAGTTGTGATTATTCCGCGATACGCTCCGCAGATGTTCGCGCTATGACGACCACGCGTGGTGTCGATGCACGGAACGTCGCCTCGAGGAGAGATTCGCCTCGCGGCAGCGCTCGACGGTAACGGTTAGCCGGCAGACATGAAGACCGAGGTGTCCTGGAAGCGGCGGTTCCTGCGAAAGAGACTCCAGTACATGCTGGTGTGCGTCTTCGTAGTCGCCGTGATATTCGTGATCCATCAGCTGTTCTACTTCAAGGAGCTAAATCAGGCTACCGTGGGCAAGTTGATCGCCGGCTCGGTGCAGGACACCCACCGCGTGGTCGTCGGCAAACGGGCTGACAAGTGGAATCAACCGTACCACTCGAAGCTCATACGCGACAAAAACGGTCGGACGGTGTCGTTGCGTGGCACCCGGGATCAGGACATTGCCAAGTACCTTCCCAATGTCAACGGGAAATTTGTGTGCTTCGCTTCGAAGAGGGAGATTGATTTTGTGAAGGTCAACGATGATTATTGCGACTGTCCAATGGACGGTAGCGATGAACCAGGTACCAACGCTTGCAGCAACGGTTTCTTCAATTGTGAAAAGAGTTCAAGAAAGTCAGCAGGTATCGTAATCGAATCTCATTGCAATAATGTATGAAATAATCTATGAAACTTGTATAAATTTACAGCAAGAATACCATCGTACAAAGTTAATGATGGACATTGTGATTGCTGTGATGGTTCTGATGAATGGGCTGAAGCTGCAGTGTTATATAAGCTCAGCAGTAAGTTTAGTTTATGTAATTTAATAAAGAAATGTACTAATAGTACATATACATATACGTTCCCTAGGTAGACTTTGACATCTTATAGAAAATTTAATTCCAAACAAAAAATTTTCACAAACATAGGTCGAAAAATGCTAAATGCTTCTTTAAAAAGTTAGCGTGTAGAAACCTCTAAAATCATGTTTTCTTTTAATATATTTTGCAGATATCTAGGAAAGCCTTTTTTAATAAAAAGTATCGAAAAAGTTGTAGAGAATTAAATTATCTTTCAAATGAGACTAAAATATTTTTATTACGTTTCACAGGTCTTGAGATAACCAGTTGCTACATTTTCCAGTTTCTTTTCACCTTCCGTTTTTCTTTTCATCCTCCTAGATTTAGGATTTGTTTAAACAATGTAGAAAAGTAAAATTTTTTTTAGCAAAATAACACTAATAAAATATATAAAAATTAGCTAAGGTCATAATACCATAAATAAAAAGTAGTTCTCAATAGCTTTACTGGCAATAGCCGAAAAAACATTTTTTTGTGCATTTAAAATTGGTTATCTGAAGACCTATGAAACGTAAAAAAAATATTTTAGTTTCATTTGAATTGCTGGAGCCGTCTGTTTTACCGGCATTTTTTATCGGCACGTAGCGTCGTATTAATTTGACAGAATTAAAAATCCTTCTCCAGAATTGCAGTACATACATTAATGATTCGGGGAAACTCTGATTTTATATAGAAAACGAGAAAAAATTACGGAAGTACAGATTTCCTTATCCTACTTTTATCCCAATATGGCGTCTCGAGTTGCGGCGAGCTGTCAGCTCGTCACAAGATGTATTTCATATAAGAGATATACCATTGGTACGAACGCGAAAACAAGTTCCCCCGAATTGCACAACAAGAAAAACATCGATAAACTCTCCAAATCAAGATTTGGAAGCGTAATATAAAAGTATAATGTCGACG